GCCATAGGAAACCTCGCTGAACGGTGAGTAAAGGAGCCTTTTGGAACGCATTAAACGATGTTTAATGCGTTCCAATGGCTTTCCCTGTCCTGTTCAGCGATGTTTCACTATAGCGAAGGTTAATCCAGAACGGATTAACCTCGCTATGCGAGGCACCACTGTACTCTAAAAATAATTATCAGACCTATAGCTGATAATTATTTCAATTAAAAGCCTTCTGGAACAGGAAGGTTTTGACTTGGCGCTGTAATGTCATCAGCGTTGGCGCCAGACGAATCTCAGTCGGGAGGGTATTCCATAGTCTGGGGGCAGCTGCCGAAAAGGCCCTTTGTCTACAAGCCATCCCTCTTACCTCCTTAAGGGACGGCTCTTTCAAAAGGGACCCCTGGCTAGATCTTAAGTGCCGGGTAGGTTCATATGGAAGGAGGCGGTCCTTCAGGTATCCACGGCCCAAGCTGTTTAGGGCTTTATATATCAAAACAAGCACTTTGAATTGGGCCCGGGTAGCAACTGGTAGCCAATGTAACTTAAACAGAATCGGCTTGGTATGTTCCCTAGCGGCCCCACCACTCACCAGCCGCACAGCTCGATTCTTTTATTATTTGGCATGCCCTTGTTCTCAGTTATGAAAAGGGCTGGGAAAATAAACCCAGTCACTGGACATGTTACATAAGCCTACTCAAAGCAAATAATTAGTCAACAAAATACTATCTGTACTGAAGGCTAAAAATAAAAATCAACAGTTTAAGGGATGAGAGAATGGGTGTGCTTGTATAGCACATTGCACTGGGATGGCAGGATGCAGCTGGTATGCCATTGACAGTAACTGCAGCTGTATTCATCACCAAACTGACATTCTGGCTCTTTTCTCCAAATCTAAGGTCTTTACTTAGCAAATAAGAGAAAGATTCTCAGCTGAACAATATAACTTATATGTAAAATGTGGTGTGTGTGTGTGAGAGAGAGAGCCTAATGACTGTAAGGTCTGGCAGAAATGCACCACAGATCAGCAGTCAGGCCTGAGAGACTCTACTCTCAGTGACGAGTCATAATAAGTGCCAGTGGGTGATGCCCTGGGTACTTGGCAAAGAGGAGGAAAATACCAAGTGGCTAAGGAAAGAATGTTGGGGGTTGTTTTGCTAGAAAAAGGTGGCATTTCCTACAGGAAGGCTTGCTTGGAGGCAATTATCAACATTCATTCATGCATCCAACAGCCAATGGTTCTTTTGGCTGCAACAGGAGAAAAGTAATTTAGGCTTCTTTAAAAAAACAAGTGCTCTGTCTTACATTTCCCAGAGCAATGGTGTGCATACTGTGTTTCCCCGAAAATAAAACAGGGTCTTATATTAATTTTTGCTCCAAAAAACATATTAGGGCTTATTTTCAGGGGATGTTGTATTTTTTTCATGTACAACAATCTACATTTATTCAAATACAGTCATGCCATCTTCTTCTGGTTGCTGCACAATAGTGGAGGGTGGGGTTTCACTTAACTAGGGCTTACTTTTGGGGTAGGGCTTATATTACAAGCACCCTGATAAGACATACTAGGGCTTATTTTCAGGTTAGGGCTTATTTTCAGGGAAACAGGATAATAGGTATGGGTGATAAGAATAGTTCTCTACTTACAAATGCCATTTATCAGAGTGCCAACAAAAGAAGACTCAGAGCACCATATGACCAACACAGAGGCCATCTTTTTTGGGTTACTAAGCACGGGAAGTAGGTGAAAGGACTGTGAATACAGCTATTTGTACATACTATTTGAATGCTGGCCTCTTTTTTTCAAATTCAAGGATCTGTCAAAAGCTCATGGAATGAAGGACTAATAAGGAGCTTTTAAAAAGGCTAATAAATTGCTGATAGAATCTGCCATAATTGCTATGCTTAGATTATTTACTGTTGTGATGCAATAAATAATTATGTAATACATATAAATCTATTATCCTCTCCCACATATCCATATACATATACATATGTCTGAGTAATGTTTTAAAATTTTATTTGATTACAAGATTATCTAATTTTATTACAAAAAGCAATACAGACAGGCAAATCAGATCTTGGGTTTCTGTACATCCAGAAGGACATAAGAGAATTGTAAACATTACTACTGAAACACCATCTTTCTACTATTATTTTAGCATAGTGTACATTCTCTGCTTCTTAATTCTTGCCTCCATCTGTCAGACAACATCATCTATTATTATACTTAAGGTGGCAGAGTCTGAACCACTGAAAAGCAAGTAACTTGAATGATTTCTTGTTAGGAAACTGAAGTGGATTTTGATCCACAAAATGCTTAAAGGGAAACAAACCTATGAAGTCACTAACATTTTATCCTCCCAGCTTTATTTATCTTTTTCTTTTTGGGGTGGGCGGGCGGGCAGGGCATCTTGTTAAGAACTACAACTCCCATAGCCCCCTAGAAAGGTTATCTTCTGTTATCATTCAATAAAAGAGCCTTTATAAAAAACAGTAATTTCTGATTTGTCCTGATTTGTCCTGATTTGCTTCCTTGCACTTTACAAGAACAGAGGAGAATGTAAGAACCACCATACTGAAACAGAACAAAACCCCATATAGTCAAATATTCTGCTCACACAGCAGTCAGACAATTCCTTGGGGAAGCTTACTTACAGGGCATGAATGCAATTGCACACTTTGTCCTGTGTTCCCCAGCCACCATTATATAGTGCTTCTGATACTGGAGGTGACATGTTGTTATCCTAACTAGTGGCCCTTTGGACAAAGAGTTTCGAGTTAAAATAAAACTGTTTTACATCCCCCATTCAGAAACAAGTGACCTTAAATGTCACCAGATTTAAAACAGATCTGATGAATGGAAAATACCAATCTTGATTATCTTGAAAGAGAATGGTTGGCCACATCCACTTTTTTCATTTGGAAGGAATCCAGGCTGCAGGAACTGAAATATCGATCCTTTAAAAAGACCTTTCAAAAGAATAAAACAGTGGCTTTGCTACATACTGAGCATGCGTGGAACAGGCTTACGAGCAAGAGTGTTCCAAAGAAGATATATTGTTCCAGCTTTGTGGGCTGGAAACGGAGATGTTTAGAGGACAATGAGAGATCACAGAAACAGTCAAAAGGCAGGTTTTCTTTGAAGAGTAATTGAGTAGCAGTGCTCCAAAAAGGGACATTTTGCCAGTTATCTCCAGGGAATTAGCATACAATTTTGTAAGATATATTCAAAAGATTTCTGCATTACAAAAGCACAGAGTAGTAGTGTTATTCACAAACCGAGTGTTTTCAGTAAACATAGACATGACTTCTGAGATCAGGCTCCTGACACAAGTCTTCAAATGGGAAATCAGCTCCAGGTTTGGGGCGCTACCATTCACATTTGAACACCCAGGACAATTGCTTTGTGTTTGAGTGAGAAGTAGTTAACTGAGGGGAAAAATGAGTCTTCAGGTTCTGGGATTTTTCCCTTGCTTGGTGTCATTTTGTGAATGGTAGTGAGCAGAAGAAGGTATCCTCTAGATCATCTTTGCTGCCATTGCTGTTGTTAACATTCAAGCTGTCCTTTGCTATGTAAAACCTGGCATTCTTTTAACTGCTGACAATGTGGGCATGATATTGTGCAGCAATATCTGGCCATTTCCTGGCATTCTGAATCATGGCTAAAGAAACATAATATCCCACATTCATAAACTAGAAGTTTTCTGAACAACTTAATTTACACTTTTTCACATGCTAGGGAGATTCTAATGGATTCTAGGACGTTTGACAATTTTCAGTTTGAATTTATTTATTTATTGTGGGTGAACAGTTTTCCCCATAAGATTTCATACACAGTGTAATAATCGAGCTTTGGTTTATTTTTAACTTAACTTTGAACAGTCATCCAGCATAAGCTGAACCTGACTGGTATTTCATACTGACCTTCAATATCTTTCGGCCATCAAATGACTCTCTTTGCTTAACAGCTTTGCCTGCAGTTCTGTTGTTTTGCTCTTCAGCTGCAAAATAAAGAAATTAGATTATAGTTCATGTTGTGTCAGTATTTTTTACACCTGGAAGACAATTTTGTGTTCAATTTGTATGCAAGGAAAAAACCTCTGCAAATTATTTCCAAAAGTACACTGTCAAAAGTCCTAGAGTCATCAATATTGTTGCAAGGATTATTCAAGGCTGACAGCTCAGTAAAATAGAATCATTCGGGGGAAACCAGACACTAATATTCACTGCTCTGTCAAAGCATGTTTCAGCAGTAAAGCATCCTCTCATCTCTTGAATTACCAAATTCAGCATCAAATATCTGATCATTCTGCCGAGTACCTTCTAAAAATCACTAAAAAAATCAGGTACCCAGGCAATGCAATCTTGTTCTCAAGGTGCCTCTAATCTTTTAAAGGTGAGAACAAACAAAAGAAGATGAATTACTTCTTAGCAAGGGTTATTTCTAATCTGTACACTGGAATGATTATCTTTTAAGATGTTTGTGTTTCATAAGCATTTTGAAAACTTGAAATTTTATTGCTGAGCTTCAAGCCCAAAAGTCAGCGAGGAACAATGTGTGTTTCTATGTGATAGAAATTTTATAAAATAAAAAGAAGAAAACTGGGCAGGGCTTCTTCGGGAAGGAGTCAGGACTTGCACAGAACTCCCACCCCTTCTTACATACAGTGTGCATACCAAGCTGATTATACTGGCTAACTACACCTGATCCCCACATCTTCTATCCTTTATAAATTTACTTATTGAATCTGCAGTTATATTAATTAAAGGCTCAAAACAATTCACACAAAGAAAACCAACAGATTATTACATCAGCCAATCCTGTCAAAAAACATTAATGTTCTAAAATCTGAAAATCTGAAGCTTCTTTGAAAGCTGGTAATGTATTGGTTTAGGCATGTGATTGTGGACCCAAATATTTGGAGTTTGAATCCTTACTGTGTCTCCTGAGTAGAGATGGGGGTATTTGTAGTCGTATACGAACATCCCCCCACTTCCTTGAAAATAACAAGGAAGTGCACTTGATGGAGCCTTCCTATCATGCTGTTGTCCACAATGGATTAGCCACTCCTGGCAAGAGGCAGGATGACAAGCCTCTCTGCCAGGTCACAGAGTGGCTAATCCATTGTGGACAACACCGCAATAGGAAGGCTCCATCAAGTGCGCATCCAGAGCAGAATGGTGAGTGGGGCCAGACCCTCGTTATTATCAAAGTCCAGAATTTGAGACTACATGGACTCCTTGCTGCAGGGTCTCAAATGTCTGTTGAAGGCACACCGCAATCAAGTTTCTTCCAATGGTCAAAACGAAATACACATTTTGAGATAAATAAATGATTGGTTAAACTAGGCATGGTATTTCTTATGCCCTTAAAACACAAAATGTACATCATGATTTTGGGTGTTCTTGTTCTATTTATACATATCAGTTTGCCCTGTGCAGCACTGTGGAATTATTGAAGGGTATATCTTTGTGTGTGACTGAATACATAGTTAGGTAATATTCTGGCTACAAACTTCACAATTTTCATTGCAACTTCACCTCCCCGAATACTCCAGCTGGATCTTAGTAATGCAGAGCATGTGTGGGCAGATAGGCAGACACTGTACACAAAGCAGGAGCCTTCATCCAACTTGTTATTAGTCAAATTATTTTACAGAAAATAAAAGCAATATAGATGAAAATAACCATCTTGTTTAGAAAGTAATACAAAGATACATTCTCAGATATATTAGGAAGTAACTAAACGTATCTCCCAGATGTAAACACTTCCTCTTGGCTCCTACTCAGATGGCATGGACCCATCATTTTTTGTGTAAAGATCACAAACAGTAATAAATGAGCAAGAGCAAACCCAAGAATCATATAGCAGTTATAGAGTTCAAAAGAGTTGCTACATTTTCTCAAGGAGACTCAAGAAATACTCACCACTAGGATCTTTTCGAAAAACGGTGTTCATGACAGTGGCATGGAGTTTTATCCTATCCCATTCTTTCATCATCAGCCCAGAAGTCACAAACTGATCCACCAGCCTATCTGCTATTAGCTGGAGTCTTCCAAAAGGAAAAAGAAACAAGGGGAAGCAAATTATGACACTCTGGTTATTTATGAACTCATGTGATATATACATGAAAGTCTATATACCTGAGAAACTAAATATTATATAAAATGATTGTTATTAAGACTGCATTTCATGTGTGACTTATCGCTTCTCCAGTGTGGCAGGCTATTAGTAGCAAAAGCCAGAAGGAACTGGTAGGTTTGCAGCATAGGATACAGTATTTCAGCCAGTCTGCTTATAATACGTGCAAGACTGGATAATATGTCAACTCATCAGATATGATCACAACATTATTTTCTTGGGAGAAAAGAACAGAGCCCCATCCGAAGAAGTTTCACGATATTACTAGAAATACTTTCTCTCAGGGTGGGCCATCTCCAGTCTTCCAAATGGCGATGAATTGCTACTCCTGTCCTATCTCACCATCGCCTAGGCTGGCCAGGGCTGATGGAAACTGGAAACCAACAACTGAAGTAGCACATGTTCCACAACCTTGGTTTATCTGATTCCATTTACAACACTGCAGTGTGAAGTCAGAACTTAGTAAATGAATCAATCTGAGTTAAAGAAATGACTTCTGAACTACAACTGCTGCTTCCGCCATGTCTGAACTGGTCATTATCATGGCCAGGGTTGACAGCACAATGTAGCAGCATATGCCTTGCTTAAGAATTTCCCAACCTGATGAAGAGCATGGGAAGGCTGACACACAGAGCACTGAATCTGAATTTGCACCACTGTCACCTGTTTTAGGATTAATCTGTAAAAAGTAGAATTATTATTTTTGTCAAATCAAATTCTGACTCATGATTACCTTTTTTAGGGTTTTCCAGGTAGGAAATATTCAGAAACAGTTTACCATTCTCTTCATCGGGGGGCACCCTGGGATTGTGCAGCCTGCCCAAGGCTACTCAGGCTGGCTCTACTCATAAGGGGCACATTGGGGACCTGAACTTCGACCTCTGGTTCTGCAACCAGATACCAAAACCACTATGCTATCCAGTCAGTTATCTGTAGAAATGATGAAGCATAAATACAACCTTAGCACTGAATTTCATTTCAAGAGCTTCCTCTTCCAAGCATTACTAACAAAACAAAACACTGGCAAAATATTCACAATAAACATTAATATGTAATTACAGATGCATTCCAGTATGTAGTTTGTGTGGTTTATTTTCTGCTCGAAATAATTGAACTCTTAGTTAAATTGGCAGCCCATCTTGGCTAAGTGGTTAAGCTAGGGATGCTCTCCACAGCTAGGAAAGAAATGTATATTTCATTAGTGCTCTTGGATAAATTATTTTGCCTTGCTCCACTGAAAGTGAAGTTGGGTAGACATTTAAAAAGAAGGGAAATTGAGGTCAGATGATATGGCACTAACTCCTTGCCACTTCATCTGTGCCTTGTTGTAATGGTTCTCCACAGGAAGAATGGATTGACCAGGAATGATTGAAAGGAGACAAGGCAGCATTTCCACCTGAGAGCACCTGCCCATAAACAGGCAGGTGGCCAGAACAGAGGGAATTGTACAGAGCTACAGTGAGCTTTTGGCGCTGAGCCATCAGTAATAATGCCATCAATAGTAATGAACTAAGTTAGTTGTTTCGATCCCTGGAATCAGAAACTAGTTATCTGAAAATATTAAATGGTTCAGCCTAAGATCTGCCAGCAATGCATTTTCTCACATATAAGAGACTCCAAAATAAATGTAGGTTGTATTTTTTTTCTTAAAGTAAATACTTTACTTTCTTAAAATATGGGGCAGTTAAAATTACAGCTGAATGTTATTTAAAACTTAAGTGAGGGAATCAGGTAGTTTGTGAAATGTATGGAATTTGATACTGACAGAATACATGGGTAATGTCCCTCTCCACTCTATCCATCAAAATGTAATAACCGAGAATGATAACTGCACCCAAAGTGTGAACACCAGAAGATGAACACATTTCTAATGTTTTTTTAAATCATTCCATGTTGTTTCACCCTTTAAAGCACTGAGCAAATCTCCTAGGATTGTGGACAGAAAGAAACTGATTAAAACCAAACATTCTTGCCCATCAGTATGAGAGATAATCATGCCAATGTGTTGGCTTATATACTCTTTTTGCTAAGCTCATTAAGGCGATAATTTGCTGGACAGTTCATCCTTTCTCAGCTCTAAATTGCCACTTTGGCCCTTTAGGTCTCATCCAGAGAAAGGACAGTAATAATGTTGCACAACCTCCCCCTCTGGTCACCAGGCAATCCCTGATAAACTAACATGACAGCTAGCTGGTTTTAAACTGCCACTTTAAGGTCCATTTCTAACCTTTGCAACTGAATCTTCTCTTTTCTCCTCCCATGCAACTCCCATAATTTGCTTACTGGTAATACATCAATGATTTTTAAAATCAGTGATTAAAAATGGAAGAAGCATCATTACAGATGATACTAAAACAAATTAACAGAAGCACTTCAAGTGAAAATGGTGCTTTGTTGTGCTATAAAATTAATCAGAGAAATGAAACAAATTAAAATGAACTGCAATGAGAGCCTCGGCTACATGGAAATCAGAGCAGCCCTTTCCCACTGTCTTTCTCTTCCTCCCTTCCAGTCTACATTAAAACTAGAGAGGATCTCTAATATCAACAAAGCAACAGAGGGAAATTAGGCTCTTCTGCTTAACAGTCAGATATTCAGAACTAAACTGAAACCAGAAAAGACATCTGCCTCTCACAGTGGTGTTATATAAGAAAGATCATTTTGCTAGATGTCTTCTATTATTACAGAAAGAGATGGCTGCTGCTTTATAAATTAGTTACCAGCATGATTTCAGACAGGCACCTAAGCAGAAGAGAGAGAAAAGAACATATTCCTGAGACAAATGACAAGATCATGGCCCCTATTCTGTTTCAACAATAGCAGCTCACTGCATTGGTAACTGAGTTCTGTATCAGTACTGGAGATGGGTTAGAGACTTCCACTAAAACTGGGATGGTAGGCTAGTTTAGGGGGGGCATGAAGATTTTATAGCATATACTGTTCTGTCATCAAGCAATGGAAAGCAGCCACAGAGTTTGTGAAGTATGGCCAGAAAAGCCAGTTCAGCCCTCGGAAGTCAGCTGAGCTGGTCACTTCAGTTTGACTCACTGTCAGCCCTGATCCCCTGGTGGATCTTTATTTTTCTTACCAAACTATGTAGTGCAGGTTCTAGTAGTACACAATACAATTAATGCCAGTGAAAGAGAACTAAACTAGACTTGGGGGTGTTCATATTTGTATACGAATATGTATATCCCCGCACAGGTGGAAATAACGAGGGTTTTGGCACTGACGCAAGCTTGACGAAGCCTTCCTATTGCACTATTCTCCACAATCGATTAACCACCCCTGGCAGGAGGCGGGATGAGAAGCCTCTCTGCTAGGTTGCAGAGGGCTAATCCATTGTGGAGAACAGCACAATAGGAAGCCTCCACAGAGTTGAAATCGTGAGTGGGGCCGGACCCTCGTTATTTCCACCTGTGTGGGGATATTCGTATTTGTATACAAATACAAATACCCCCATCTCTAAAGTCTACTTGTCCTTTTAAAATACAAACATCAGCAGCATTCTCTAGAACTGATCTCAACATGGCTTTATTTTCACAAAGCTTAAGATTAATTTGAAATAACCCATGAAAATGTTGTTAATTGTTATACTCTGACATTTACACTTGGTAACTGCAGATGTGTTTAAAAAACAAGGAAGAAAGAGATTGAAGAATTCAGTGTGCATTTGGAGACAAAGAATTAAAAAATGACCCTGTCTATGCTTAAACCTCAGTTCAACAGGCAAGATGGTTACAAAGTTTAATAGCAAATGAACATCCATACAAACGGTATGCAGGCAAAATGAAGAACATTACAGAATTACAATAACTGTGTAATTAAGCACAGTTGCAAAGGCAGTGGCTAGCAGAAATAGGCTTTACTAGGCCCTTACATTAAAGTTAATGAGTGAAAATAGCTTCTGGTTTTTGGAAATACTACAGTTAATTAGAAATTACATAAGTACAGTAAATACTCTCTAATTGTTTCCTTCAGTAATACCACTCAGGGCGAAATCACCGCAGCCTTCTTTTCTCCTGCAGAGAAACAGAAATGTCTTGTCTTCCAGATGCCTAGTAATATATTTCCTAGCATGAAACAATCAGAGTTTTCAAGTGTCACATCTTTTGCTAATGATTTCATATCTGAATTAGGAATGCAATGAAAATATATACAGAAAAGATAATGAATACATACCTGTTAGAGCCATCCTTCGTGTGGACTTTTGCATAGAGAACATCGATCATGGCTGGATCATCATTCATATACTCTATGCCTGCTACTTCAACTGTCAGTGGTTTGGCTCCTGTAATTGTGCTTTATAAAAGGGGGTAAACAAATTATGTTCACAGTTAACACTAGATGGTGACAGGCTATTTCACGATTCACTGTTTCTACAACACTAGAGGCTAACTAAACAGGTGTTTAGGCTGTTGTTTGGGATGAACTGGTTTGCTCCCAAAGATGGCAATCAGATAACATCTTTGCCTCCAGAGTGGTCCCACCTGCACTTCTGGGCCCCTATCAAAAGGTTTCTACTTTTTTTTTGTTGGAGGAAGGATTACTCTCTTTTTGTCCATTCCTATCATGTATGTTCACTGGGAAACAACCAAAGACTTCCTTTTTTGATTTGCCATTATTATGAAGTGGCTTCGTAAGAGAGACACTTCAGGGTATTGGCTAATTAAACACTTCCTCTGGTCCTCATTATTATGAAGTGGCTTCATAAGAGACACACTTCAGGATATTGGCTAATTAAACACTTCCTCTGGTCCTCTGTGGAGTGGCAGAGGGAGTAATTGTTTAAATTATCATCTGTTAGGATAGCAAAAATATGCTGCATCACTTATAAAAAAAATAAATATTTTCTTTCTCTTGTCTTAAAAGGGCTGGTCAAAAAACTGCCCATAGCTGAATCTGCTGCCATGGCAGGTTCTCAACTGGACCTTTAAGATAAGGGAAATAAGTGTATTTGTGTATTAGGTAGGTGTATTAGACTCTAGAAGACTCTCAACTAGACATTTAAGAGAAGTGTATTAGGTATACACATACATAATGTTGTTATGTGCTGTCAAGTCACTTCTGAATTATGACATTCCTGTGAATGAGCAATCTTCTCCTGTCCTCAACAGCCCTGCTCAGATCTTGCAAACTCAAGCTTGGGACTTCCTTTAGGGAGTCAGTCCTTTTTTCCTACTTCCTTCCACCTTTCCTAGCATTACTGTCTTTTCCAAAGAATCTTGCCTTCTTGTGATGTGCCCAAAGAAGGACAGCCGAAGTTTCAACATTTTTGCCTCCAGAGATAGTTCAGGATTGATTTGATCTAGGACTTGCTTGTTTGTCTTTCTGCCAGTCCAGAATATCCACAAAGTTCTCCTCCAGCACCATACATCCAGAATATCCACAAAGCTCCTCCAGCACCATATTTCAAACAAATTCATTTTTTTTCCTGTCAGCTTTCTTTACTGTCCAGCTTTCACACTCATATATGGTGATCAGAAATACAACTTCTCTTGTAATACACATACTTAATACACATACACTTTTTAAAAGTGTACCAAATAGGGTTGATTGAGGTTCATATACCATGTGGATGTAGAGATCACACCAAATGGCATACCAGATCTCCTAGTGACCCTATTCAGCCCACTCCATCTCAGCCATGTAGAGAAGCCCTTAGTCACGTCACAAACACAGTTTCTCTGAAATGTTTAATAAATGTCTATTTCTGTTAAATAGATATCCTTTAGTATTATTGCTGATGGCAGTGCTTTTATGTATTGTATTGTTTTTATATTGCATGATTTTGATTACTTTCGCTTTTTATATGCTGCTCTGGGTAGACAAAAATTTTAAGATGATAAACAAAAAATGGCAATATTCCGAACACTAAGCAGCTCAGATTTTATTTTAACTGTTCCTCACTGTTGATTCTTAACTCCAGAATGTAATGCTATATTGTGGTCTATGACTTTTGAGCTAATGTCCATGGTCAGCTTCCTATCCCCCTCTTCTAAAAAAAATATATTCACAGAGGTTCAATTCCAATGTAAGGGAAAACAAGGATTTTTTTGTTACTTCTGGAAGCCTCAGATTCATGCACTCCTTCCCTCCTCTCACACAGCTACAAAGAAATCTAAAGCTTCTGATTTCAGTTAGCCACAGTTTTGTCTTGTCTCCAAGCTCTAAATCATGGTTAACCTAAACTACAATTAGTTAAAACAAGCCAGCTTCATATACTGTGGTTTGAAGTTGGCTGTTTTAAATTAACCACAAGTAAGGCTAGTTATGGCTTATGTAGGTTTGGACACGTACATCTCACTAGTCTACGAAAAAGCAGGAGCTGAACCCCTCCAGAGCAGAAGCAGCAGGAAGCAGATGAGCTTGAGGCTCACCGTGGCTCATATTATAACAAAATCAAGCCACGTTTTATTGTTAGTTCCAAACAAGGACTCTTAACTTGATTTGATGCTCTGACATATTTGGAGCAGATGATAAATCAGAATCCAAGACTGATACTAGTGTACTGTGTTTTAAAACAGTGGTTCTTAATCTTTGTTACTCGGATGCTTTTGAACTGCAACTCCCAGAAACCCCAGTCAGGACAGCTGGTGGTGAAGGCTTCTGGGATTTGCAGTCCAAAACTCCTGAGTAACCCAAGGTTAAGAACCAGTGTTTTAAAACACTGGGCTACCTAGAACAAATTTCCCTATAGTTAGCAAATACAAATGGAGATTCTATTGTGAATCATGCAATGAACCTATTCACGTTATTTTTCCACACTGTGTTGCTGGTTACTTCTATGAAATAGCTTTATATATAATTATTTGCCTGTTAGCAATAGGTGACCAAAATGTCCATTAAGATGAGTTCATCAAATTCAGTAAAGGTGAGTGAGTAGTTTAATGGAGAAGCAATATTCCTCCCTACTAGGTTTTGCAGCTGGCTATGGAGGAAAGAAAGTATAGTGCTCATCTTTATATAAACTCCACTAACCTACTTAACAATTTTTCTCCAGGCCTGATTAAGAGATTAGCCTCTGGGCTTCCATGTTGTCTTCTCCTCCTCTGTGGCCAGCATGGAAGCAGATGCTATTAGCCTCTTAACAGGCCATTAAATAAAGCTGTGACATACGTATTATCTTTTCTGGGTTTCTTAATAAAACTACAGTGATCCCCTCAAAACTGAAGCTTAAAAAGCTTATTTAAGGTCAGCCAAGGGGTCTGACACAAAAGAAACTTAGTCTTACTGTTACTAGTCTAAATAGTAAGTCTTCCGGGCAGCAAGTGCATTACTTCTAAGCACTACATACCAAAAATGTTACAAAGCACAAGCAATTCTAATATCTCTGTCATCCTAAATGCAAGTCTAGTACTTTCACATATTCAGGTAGAGACAAAAATGTGTGGATAGTAGAACAACTTCTGTGAATGGATTCCTACACTAAATAAGAGAATAGAATCTAACCACAATGACACAATCAACGATAAAACAGTACATAAAACTTTTAAAACACTTTAGAGTTAGTCATCTCAATGTAAAAACAATTAAAAAGAGCAATTCCCTGTTTCTAACTAATAGAAAGCAACTCAGCACAAATGGATCTTTTGAATCCACATAAATAGCTGAATTGATAAGGCCATAAGTATTTCAGCTACAGTAAATTTCCAGAAACATGGAGCCAGTGCAGGAAAAAAAAGAAGAAGCAAAAGAAGAAGTTCTGTTCTTCCAGGTCAACACACTATTTGCTCTCCTTGGTGGGCTAAGCCTCTGAGGTTGATCTAAAAGAATGAGTTGGTTTGTACAGGTTAAAGGTGTCCTTAAAAAAAATCAGACCTCAAACCATTTAGATTTTTAAAGGACAATATCTGAAAAGGATCCGGAAATGCACTGGCAGGCAGAACAGTTAATGGTGCATGATTGGTACTAGAAGAAGCAAAAGAAGAAGAAGCTCTGTCCTTCCAGGTCAACACACTATTCGCTCTCCCTGGTGGGCTAAGCCTCTGAGGTTGATCTAAAAGAATGAGTTGGTTTGTACAGGTTAAAGGTGTCCTTAAAAAAATCAGACCTCAAACCATTTAGATTTTTAAAGGACAATATCTGAAAAGGATCCGGAAATGCACTGGCAGGCAGAACAGTTAATGGTGCATGATTGGTACTACATATTTTCATTGACCTACCTTTGCCAACTGTAGCGTTCTCTATTTACTAGGTCTATGGTTCTTGTTGTATTATGTAATGGTTTATGAATATTCATGTTGCTGAGAGGTGGAGTCAAGAGATGCTATAAGAGGCGGAGTCAGAGAGTCAGATTAAGTGATAGTGGGGTCTTGACTTGAGAACTTAATCCGTATTGGAAGGCGGTTCTCAAGTCAAAAAGTCTGTAGGTCAAGTCTCCATTGACCTACAGTGCATTGAAAACCGATTAATCCCATAACAGGCCGTTTTTGTTCCATTTTGGTTTTTTTCTGGTCTGTAAGTCAATTCTCAGGCTGCAAGTCAAACCTAAATTTTGCACCTAGAGAAGTCTGTAACTCAAAAAGTCTGTAAGTCAAGCCGTCTGTAAGTCAAGAGTCCACTGTATTGAATCAGTTAGAGAAATGTAAGTGTCAGGCAGGAGAGAAAAGCCAGACAGAGTAATAGAGTGTGTAGTTTGGGGAAATTCTGAGGAATGATTAGCTACTGAAGATATTTCTAAATCTCTGTATAATCAATAAACCAATGTTTTATTTAAAAGAACTTGAAGTGTGGACCTGAATCTTTCTGAAGTAAATGGTGATTTAGAGATCACCTGGTGGCAGCAAGTGTAAAAGGAGAAAGTGTTTGCCTCCATGTGCTCTGGGGCTTGAAGGTCAAGCAAGGGGCATGAGGGTGGACGCCACACCAACATTCAGGCAGCAGCATTTTGCACCACTTGACATTTCTGTTTACCAGATGTTAAAAATATATTCACAACAGGATGAATCTCATTTTCAAAAAATAAATCATTCTATTGGAAAGTCCTTACAAAAATGCTGGAAGCAGAACTGCATCCTGTGGGAGTAAAAAGGAATCTCCCAATCCTATCCTATCTATTCATTCTAAACTTCTACCAGTGTTGCTTTGTGAGCACATTATGGCAAGCCCTGCACTATAAAATAACTGACATACAGTTTCAGGACAGGTTTCTTACACAGGTTGTGTGTCTTCCATATCCAGTGGCTAGGTTTGTTTAGGAAATGAATCTCGGGGATATATGACCATCTGTGGGGAAAGAGCTATTTGCCAAACACTCTGCTGTGAAAAAGTGCTAAGGCAACCATATTTTTCATGCACTTCTGGAAGGGTAGGTGCCCATTCTCCCCCCCATACAAACCACCATACACTGTAAGAATATAATACAGTGGATATTTTATAGTAACTTTGCAAGCAAAAAGATGTTCCTAAATGACTAATCCCCATTAAAAAGTACAAGTAAGTGTCTACCTAATTTTGTGTGCACCTTTTACTATCCCTAAAACATCTGACTGGATTACTGCCAATACTGCCCAGTTCTAGAACAGGCCACTTTGTTTTGGAAGCTGCCACTGCTTGACTCCATTGCATCTTATTATCATAGTTCAATTTTACTCACTCAACAAAGTCTTCTTTACATCTCTGCAGGAGTTCCTGAGCCCGCCTGATTTCCTGTTCATTCAGTAGTACCAGTGTCCCAATAGTTAGATGGAGTTTTGCTGGGTTCTGAAACAGACTACTGCTGACACCATAGTCCTGCAGAAAAAAATTAAGCATTTCTTGGGTGACAAAGGGATACACTAGAAGTTCTGTAATAGAATATAATTATAATCACCATCATAATATAATGAATTAGAATATAAATACAATTATAGCACTTCATACAGTCTCCATGAATGACTGTCTTAAGCATATCCCATCAGACATGAATCTAGGTACCTGGAGGGTGTTCTTCACAAAAAGATCAATAGATTTATACAGCTTTATTACAGATTTTGATCTGAAGCAAAAGCAGATTCAACAGTCAGGTCAAGGCACTTATCAGTATTGTTGGGAACATATACTGAAGCAAAACCAGAAGCCAAGATGGAACTTAGAAAATCCTGTTTGAGGACAAACACCATTTTTCTATAGCCCAGCCACCTCCAAGAATCAGGGAATTCCATAAGAATCCTTACTTTAAGGAAAGATGGTCTAATGTAGGATAATTTTAAGGTTTTGCTACCTGACATGTGACATGGATTTTTAAATAATAAAAGAAAACCCTTCTCATGTTGAGGTTTTTCTGTTACCTTGCCATATATAAACACTTAAAACACAAGCTTAGCTCTTTCATATGTAAATGTCTCCATACCAAGGATAGGCAACATGTGACCTTGGAGAAGTTGTTTGATGGCAATATTCATTAACCCTAGTCAGCAAAGCCCATGGTACAGAATTGTGGGAGATGCAGTCCAACAACATCTGGAGGGTCAAATGTTCTCCAGCCCTGCTCTCTGTAACCCATCATATTAATAAAGATTCTGTGACTGCAGACATAGTCCTGTAGGATCCCAGACACGAGCAACAATCTGCAAACAGAGCCAGGCACTCTTTGCCATCAATATTCTCCACCAATATGCCTCTCTCCATCTCCACACAGAAAAATGCAATCAAATTCAGTCAATGGAAGTCCCACCTTTAGCTTGACAGTGCTCAAAGCAATTGAAAAGCATGCTGGCAAGCTCTTTCAGGTTTACCCCTCTCTTCATTTTTTCCACTCTGCCAACTTCTACCAAAACAAACTTGGAAAATGAGTCTAAATCCCTTCTGCGGGCAAGCATATTTAGGATACACTGAAAACTGAAATGTTTATTCTTATATGCTTTTCCTTAATCTGGGACCAGCACCAGAAATCATTTGCATTGTAATAAACACCAGGTATATCAGAAGCTGGAGAGGCAGCATAGGGCAGCTTTGATATGTTCCAACTATTGGCAGGGGTTCATTTTAACTTATGTAATGCTCTGAGTTACAACAAGCAGAAAATATATTAGCAGAATAAAGTGAAAGCTTTTAGGGAAAGGATATGCTATCCAATCCCAGCAAGGAGAGCTGGTAAAGAAAACATAATTCATGTATAATTACTATCAGCCAAATTTCTTATGCCCTGACTTCTTTCCATTCAGCAAAGAAGTAAATAGCAAAGTCTTACTAATCATAAGAATCATGATGCCTTCCTTTAAATTATCAAAGAATATCAGATCTATTGTTATCTAGTCATGTTAATGGCACAACTTAAGCAAATTTACTAAGAAGCAACTCTCCCTAGGTTCAAGGGATCTTACTTCTTACCAAGTATGTTTAGTATTGTAGTTCTAATCTCAATACAGTTAAACCAAGCCACTGCATCTATAGTGACCCCAGAAAAGGTTATAGGAAAGTTGCAAGAGGTTCTTCTAGATTTCACTATTTTTCTCTAAAGCTTGTCTATCCAGAGAACAGAGCCATTAAAACACTCACTCAAACACGGTGTCAGGTGACCAGGGCAGTCATACACTCTTGGGTTATTTCTAATTTAAGAATTCTATCTTTTAAGAGCAAATGTGGAGTGACAAATGGAGCTAAAAAGCAAGGGAAAAATTCCTCCTAAAAATGACTGTCTCCGGAATCAAAGTCAGCCTATGTATACAACCATATGTGCCTGGGTGGTCTGGCTTGCAGAAAAATTGCCCCGTGATTAATCAGTCTAAATGATTCAGCTCCTTATTATCTGGTTTTGTATAATTCCCCCTTCAACACTAGGTAGGCAATTTGCTACCTTCCAATATCTAGTACAGTACTGTACCAGCAGCCTAACCCTTTATATGCCTCTCCAAGGTATGTATGTAGTACAGGATTGCAAAATAAGAGATACCTCTTTTCTCATGGGAGGTACTCCTTGTTCACATGATCTTATTTCACTGGGGCAAATGTTCACGCAAGGACACTGCTTTGACAAACACAAACAATGATACATCATGCATTTAATGATTCACAATATGTTCTAGATCATATATTTCTTTCTCTTTTCTCTTAATTTATTTCTGAGACAAAGAAACTTTATAATTAAGGTATTTATAAGGTGTCTAAGTCTCACAACCTTTACAAATAATCCCTTAATAAATAATAAATAACAAATAATTCTTTAATTTTTTGGTGAATTGAAAGAAACACATTTCATTTAACTTTATATTTATTCCCAGCACATATGTTAGAATCTAAGTACAGTGGTGCCCTGCATAGCAACGTTAATCCTTTCCAGATTAATCATCGCTATGTGGAAACATCACTAAACGGAACAGAAAAACCCATAGAACACATTAATGGGGCCCAAACTCACCATTCAGTGAAGTTCCTCCATAGCGCCGCCATTTTCGTGCCCTCAGTAAGCGAGAAAACCGCGCGAAAATGGTTGCGGTGGCCATTTTGGGCACCCGGTGGCCATTTTGGAACTGCCCATTAAAACATTGCAATGCAATTGCATTAGCGATCTAAAAAAATAGATCGCTATGCGGATTCGTCATTAAACGGTGCGCTCGTTATGCGAGGCACCACTGTACCAGATTCTAAAATAATTCATAATAAGTTTTTATTTTCAGCTATGAGAAGTCACAAAACACTATAGCAAGATTTTACACTACACTATGTATTTAATGTATTTTATCTTTGTATAATTGGGTCTATGACTGCATAATAAAACTTTACTTACATAACCATACATTCCAGCCAGATTACTATAATGTGCTGTATCTGGGGCTGCCTCTGGAAAGTGTCAGGAAACTTCAGTAGGCCCAAAATGTAGCAGCCAACTTGCTGGTCGCAGTGATCACATAATCCCCCTCTCACAGCTGCTCCACTGGCTTCTGGTCCATTTCTGGGCACTATTCAAAGTGCTTGTTCTAACCTATAAAGCCTTAAACAGCTTGGGTCCAAGCTATCTCGAAAACAATATCTCCCTTCATGAGCCTGCTCAAGTGTTAAGAATCATCAGGAGAGACCTTTCTCTCAGTCTCACTCCCAGCACAGGTATGTTTGGTGGGTACAAAGGAGAGGGCCTTTTCTGTTGCTGCTCCCAGACTTTGGAACTCCCTCCCACAAGCAGTCAGATTAGCTCCATCTTTGCTGTCCTTCTGCAAGCTTTCTATTCAGAAAAGCTTTCAATGAGTGACTGGCTGCCTGAGTGGGGTTGTTAAACTGATTGTTGTGCATTACTCCTTTGAATATGTTTTTGGTATTGGTTTTATTTATCATGTTGTAGTGTGGTATTTTACCCTTTCTAGTATTTTTATACTTACTGTTTTTAGCTTTAAATACTGTATTTTAATCATGTACGCCACCTTGGATTCTTTTAAAGGAGAAAGGCAGGGTATAAATAAATAAATAAACAAACAAACAAACAAACAAACAAACAAACAAACAAACAAACAAACAAACAAACAAACAAATGTATGATAGACAATCTAGCTATCTCCCAAATACTGCCATCTGCTGGACATAAATCAGGTTAAGTCTTCATGTTTATTTTATTTATTCCATAAATGACCATTATTATCACATATAATGACCATCATTATCATATGCACTGCAGATTATATGAGAGAGTTGATGGCCCAGACACAGATGACTAAAATGAAGGTTTAAAAGAAAATGATAACTGGGGATAAGGCTATTAAGATTTTCCTGTCAAGATTTCTTCATATTTATACTGAGGAGAAAACTCTGATGGAAGCACCCCCTAAACTAATTGATGTATCACAAAAATCAAATGTTAGTTTCATACATTTATGTATTCAATGTGAAAGCTAAATTGTGGGATATCACCCAATGTGATGGGTGGTGGGATAAGAATATTAATGAGAGCAGAGGAAACAATTTTATGTTCAGCTGTTCAGCTACATTAATACCTAGTGGATGGTTTCATGGTTTGTAACTAATTAGTATAGATGTTTTTTGGTTTTATTGTTTTTAAATTTGTAAACTGCTCAGAGTAGACCTTTGGTCTAGATGGGCAGGATAAAAATCCAATAAATAAATAAATAAAATTTAAAAGAACTAACAGAGCACAGCAACTTTGTCAATTTAGTAGATTCTAAATTCTGCTGACTTTCTTGAGTAATCCCCTCAATTTATTTTTGTTATTGATTGGATTATGAAATAATCCATTTTTAACTAGTTCACTGTGTATTGTTTATTATTTAATCAGGAGGTTCACTACAGATTGGAACAGTTGCTACAGGAAACAGAAATAGAATCCAAGCCATTATTAAAAACTTAAATTACAATGGAAGAAAGACTTTAGGGCATCAGCACTTATTTTGTGAAGTACATCTGTTTCCATAAATTTCCTTATTAGTTTCTATGCAGCCACATTAAATTTTTAGTTTCATATATTACAAGTTTCTCTTATATGGACAAAATTTATCAACCAAAATATCTAAAGTAAGCCTTCTGAACTGGTGAAATCCAAGCAAATCCCACCCATCTGAACTGATGGTCCTAACCTACTCCTCACCTCACTCCATCTTTTTGCCTTCAGTTTTTTCCTAGGTTGCAGGAATGTATATGACACAATGGAATACAAAATGACAAACATTATCCATTAACCCAACTACAGTGGTGCCCTGCTAGATGCTTACCCCAGTAGACGACAAAATTGCTTCACAATGAGTATTTTGCTATTGTGATCGTAAAACAGTGTTTAGATGGGGAAAATCCGCTGGACAATGATCGGTTCC